CCCCCCCCCCAAGTCCCCCATCCTGGGCATCTGGCTTTGTACATCTGTGGTCACTTCAACCCTGACCATCCTGTTTAATCTTAAGAGCCCTACACCCCCCTGTCCAGTCCTCTCCCCACAGGCATCTGGTTCTATGTAGCTGTGGTCACCTTATCCATGACCGTCCATAGTGCCCCACCTGTCCAGTCCTCTCTCCACAGGCATCTGGTTCTATGTAGCTGTGGTCACCTTATCCATGACCGTCCATAGTGCCCCACCTGTCCAGTCCTCTCTCCACAGGCATCTGGTTCTATGTAGCTGTGGTCACCTTATCCATGACGGTCCATAGTGCCCCACCTGTCCAGTCCTCTCTCCACAGGCATCTGGTTCTATGTAGCTGTGGTCACCTTATCCATGACCGTCCATAGTGCCCCACCTGTCCAGTCCTCTCTCCACAGGCATCTGGTTCTATGTAGCTGTGGTCACCTTATCCATGACGGTCCATAGTGCCCCACCTGTCCAGTCCTCTCCCCAAAGGCATCTGGTTCTATGTAGCTGTGGTCACTTTATCCATGACCGTCCATAGTGCCCCACCTGTCCAGTCCTCTCCCCACAGGCATCTGGTTCTATGTAGCTGTCGTCGACTTATCCATGACCGTCCATAGTGCCCCACCTGTCCAGTCCTCTCCCCACAGGCATCAGGTTCTTTGTAGCTGTGGTCACCTTATCCATGACCGTCCATAGTGCCCCACCTGTCCAGTCCTCTCCCCACAGACATCTGGTTCTATGTAGCTGTGGTCACCTTATCCATGACCGTCCATAGTGCCCCACCTGTCCAGTCCTCTCCCCACAGGCATCTGGTTCTATGTAGCTGTGGTCACTTTATCCATGACCGTCCATAGTGCCCCACCTGTCCAGTCCTCTCCCCAAAGGCATCTGGTTCTATGTAGCTGTGGTCACTTTATCCATGACCGTCCATAGTGCCCCACCTGTCCAGTCCTCTCCCCACAGGCATCTGGTTCTATGTAGCTGTGGTCACCTTATCCATGACCGTCCATAGTGCCCCACCTGTCCAGTCCTCTCCCCAAAGGCATCTGTTTCTATGTAGCTGTGGTCACCTTATCCATGACCGTCCATAGTGCCCACCTGTCCAGTCCTCTCCCCACAGACATCTGGTTCTATGTAGCTGTGATCACCTTATCCATGACCGTCCATAGTGCCCCACCTGTCCAGTCCTCTCCCCACAGGCATCTGGTTCTATGTAGCTGTGGTCACCTTATCCATGACCGTCCATAGTGCCCACCTGTCCAGTCCTCTCTCCACAGACATCTGGTTCTATGTAGCTGTGATCACCTTATCCATGACCGTCCATAGTGCCCCACCTGTCCAGTCCTCTCCCCACAGGCATCTGGTTTTATGTAGCTGTGGTCACCTTATCCATGACCATCCATAGTGCCCCACCTGTCCAGTCCTTCCCACTACATGTCTGGGCCCCTTTTCACAAAGCAATCGTAGTGCTAAGGTGATCGCAACTCCCATACTTCAGTATAGACTTACAACAGTTGTATCACTACGATCACTTTGTGAAACGGGCTCCTGGCTTGGTATATCTGTGGTCACTTTATCCATGACCAGCCATAGTCCTCTATCCTCTGTCTGGTCCTACTTTCTAGACATCTGGCTTGGAATATATTTTGTCCCTTTATTCAAGACCATCCTGAATGCCCAACCTTTCCAGTCACCTATCCTTGGCTAGTTATCTCTGTAGTGACATAAAAATCATGACCACCCTGCCTATTGTTAGATCCCAGCCCCCTGACTGACTTGGCTGACGCATCATATCCATATTGTGTAGATCGATGCTCATGATCTCCAGGCTTGACTATTTACAGAACAATATTTTATAGCTCCAATATTAGCGTGCGGCTTTAAACCACAAACAAAAACTGATAGAATCTCTTCTATTAGTCCGTAACAGCTCACTGCCAATCTGATCCAGGTAAATCAAAACTGCTCAAGTTCTTTTTTAAATTTACACTGAAATTCAAACAGAGCCCAAGCCAAGTCTAGGAGGCAGCAGAAGCACATGGCCCCAGTAGCAGTGTGGAAGCAGCCCTGATTTATGCTGGCAAGACCTACTGACAACGTATGCAGCACTCATTTCCCCATTACCTGGTCACTACAGAGCTTGCTCTCCACTTTTTACATAGCTGAGAAATGTACTGGAGGCATCTCACTGAGACCCAGGTAGCTCATTATCGTAAACCTCATGGTTACTTGGACTGCCCGTTATCTGCTAGATGTAATCACTGCATTAGTCATGCTAGGGATAATACACACCAGGGGTGTGGGAGCTCAGGGACATGGCTCATCATCAGGCAGAGATGGCAGAGAAAGTGCCAAGTCAATGATGGAAAGGCTTACAGATTTTCGTTCAAGCATATTTGATTCAAAGATATGTTCCAGAAATATCATTTAATCCAAAAATAATTTTAGCAACAGAATGATACTACTGGAATTTCAAATTAAAGTATATCCGTTCAACAAAAGTGGTTCTCAGGGCCTGCATTGTCAGGTGTAATGTTCAATAGTCTAAGATAAAGTGAGTTATAGTTTAATTTTGCACTGGCAACATTTTGGCCATACTGGAAGAATAGCGAGTGAGTTGAACATAGTTCAAGTGATTTTCAAGTTGCTCATACAACATTTTAGTCACATGACAGTGTGTCAGTTTAATGCACAAGGTTAAAAAATCCTGGCGAGGAAGGTCATAGATGGTATCACTTTTATGAGGCCCTTCTAGCCCAGGTATGGTTCTGATAGTGAAGGATGATTGCTTTATGCTGGCTCAGCAATTCTGAAGCAGTTTCCACAGATCAGTACTGCAGTATAAGAGAGTACCATGCCCGACCTATTCTCCCCTTCCTTACATCAGCCCATGAATCAACTTGTTTACGGTCCACTCCCACTCCATGTCTTCATCAGTTAACACAGCATCTGTCTGCTGCAGATAGCACTGCCGTATTTCCACTATCACACACAACCAATAATTTTATCAGGGTTCTACAAATATGTTGGTCCACTAGACAAATCTAAAATCAGGGCTAGATACTCTCAAAGAAATCCCGCAGGAAGTAATGGACAGGGTAGACTAACATCTAGTCTCTGAAATGAACATACCTACAGAAAAATACAGTTCATAAAAACTAATCATTAAATATAATAAAAAGGAGCCCAGAGACTTTCTTCAGTTTCAGACACTTTGTTTATCTAGACTTGCCATGTATTCTAGGCTTGCATGGGCTTTTTTGGATATATTTGTTTCAGGGTCTGTATGACAGACTATGGACAGGATCATGATCGTAGTTGTCAAAAGAGAGCATACATTGTTTATAGTTATTATCTGTAAGGTGAGACTATTGTTATGACGCAATAATCAACACTTGGGGCACAATGACACACAGACACATCACACACAAATCACACACAGCCACCCAATCCTCATAAATCAGTTCTTACAAGTAAGAGGAACCTATTTTGTGCTCGGATACCTGCCAAAACATTTGCTGAGTAAGTGAGTATGTATTTTCCACCATGTAACAGGGAACAGTTAGGTACACTTGGCAGTCCACCAGGAAGGAACAGGGTTATGAAAGGATAATAGTCATGTTGATGAAACTAGTGATTGGACTTTACAGCTAACAGCAATCCACAATGCTATTCTTCTGCCAGTGCTGAGACAAAAGTTGACAATTGTTTGGCACATGCTCTCGGAATTGCCAGTATTTGATGCAATAAATATTCTGCTTCTTCAAGTGTCTCCTGGAAGTGAGTCCAGTAATCGCGTCCTGATGACAAGACCTATTCATGTCAGAATGTTCCATCATGGACTGAACAAAGGTGAGTGAGTGAGTGAGTGAGCATGGTTTTACGCTGCCTTTAGCAATATTCCTGCAATATCACGGTGGGAGGACACCTGAAATGGGCTTCACACATTGTGCCCATGTGGGGAACCGAACCCAGGTCTTCAGTGAGACGAGCGAACGCCTTAACCGCTAGGCTACCCCAGCTCCTCGAACAAAGGTGAACAGCACGAAGAATGAGTCACACCATTAGTACACAATGACAGATGTCAACCTTCTGAACATCACCAGCCCTCACCAGCTTTAGGTGTTGAACACCCAATCTACCCTTGAATCCACACAGGGACTCTTCATCTTCACACAACATAATGCAACAGATCAGAAGGTTTAAAAAGTTGAAAAATTAACTTAATGGCTTCTTCTGTTGGACAAATGATCAGTACTATCTGAAATCCTGAACACAATATTCAATTCCATTTTCAAGGTTAGATATGGCCAGTGAAATATTCCCACTGAATGAGTCAAGATGACTCCTTGAACGAGTGGACAACAAGCTCCTGCTGGAGAAAGTGATGATCCTGACTCTTCCTGAATGAGCGAGTGAGGTGTAGTTGGCAGCAACTGCAGTATAACTGCAGTCTGTCGTAATCTTCAATGGATCCCATGTAACACTCAGTGAGTGATGCTCTGATCAGCCAATCTTCATAATGGTGGGAGGCAAACCCAACCACTTTGATGAAGCTCTTGGCTACAGGGAGTGTGCTCACAAATCAGGGTCAATATCAGGGCAAATCTGGGATCTTCATAGCCCAGGAAGACATACCTGCACACCTGTTGTCAAGACAACTAGGCTAACTTTGTCCTTGTATGAAATGGTCAAATAATAATCATGATGGGAGTGGGTAAATATGAATATGCAAGATGCAGAAGGATGCAGTCATCACTAACATATAGATAAATGCAAGTTTTCTTGTGTTCCCCAGTGTTTCTAGTGCAAGCACTACTCCAACCACTAGGGTATATTTCCATGGCTGGAAGCATCCATAGTGCAGTGACATGGGGACTGAACCCAGTCATCCTGCATAATGAACAAACCCACAAACCACTGGGCTACACTGTTAAGCAAATAAGACAAGGAAAGCTAGAAATCTGACTCACCTCATCCTTCTTCTCTTCTTCTGGCTTATTTTCTTTACCCTTCTCATCCTCTTCATCCTGTACAAAAGTAAATATGTGTGAATATTCCAAGGGAGGTAACCCATGGGCAATTCAGGATTTTGTATGATTTCATTAATAAAATCTAACATCTGGTAAAAACTTTTCTTGATGTGAATGTTTAAAGGACATTAATCAACATTTCTGGGTTGATTGCTCTACTAAAGGGAAATAATCAAACTAGTCACTCATTCCAACAGAAGCGTCTGACTAAATGTTGCCCTGAACCAGTCACAATTATACAGTAACACTGGCCTGTAATTAGTAGAATATGGACCAGAGACAAGTATTGAACCACACAACCAACCGTGCACACCTTCTACCAAACCACAGAGGCAGATATGGGATAATAGTGACTGGAATCTGTGACTGGCATCCACACTTCAATGTTTGTCAGTGGAAAAGTAAACTTATCTATATGATCAGGGCCATATACTTACATCAGGTGTGTAGGTAACGATGCCGGTGGAGCGCCTTTCTCTCCACGCCCTCCGCTTCTGTAAGGCTGAGCTTTCCTTCTTCTCTTCGTGATCTGCTACAAACCATCATACAAAAAAGTCAGCAACAGCAGACGCATGGCTCGGGATCAGTTACCAAACTCCCGAAAGAAAAGGTCTTCAAATGTTTGGTTTTGTCTAACTTACATAAAGAGTTGTACTCTTTCATCAACAGTTCTTTCATTTTTCCTGAAACTCTGGCCATTTCTTTGAAATTCTTGAGCCATTACCTATGCTCTTTGGCAGGAGTTAAAAATGGACATCCTAAAAAGCTGGTCTGATTGAACAACTATAGATACAAACTGCATCATGGGATAAAATCAATAAATCAACATAAAATATTATGAAACACATATATTTGGACAACTTTTTGCCAAAATATTTTTTGTGTTTGAAAAAGGTATAAATTCAAACATCTTTCTTCCAAGACAAATACTGGTATATATTCAAACAAGTTAACAATTGAAGTGTTTGGTGCAACAGTGGACTAACCATCAAAAGCATGTTTACGAGAAAATTGACATTTTGCATTTGTCTTTGATTCAAAATAATAAGCAACTAATTCTAAAATGTCAATATGTCTTCTTCATGACAGACTTTCTTCGAGACAAATACTGGTACATTCAAACAACTTAACAATTGAAGCGTTTGGTGCAATAGTATGTTTTCTAGAAAATTGACATTTTTCATTTATCTTTGATTCAAAATCATATGGAACTAATTTAAAATCTAAATACGTATTAAAATGTAAATATGTCTTCATGACAGTCTGTGATGGGAAAGTAAGAAATCACTAGCTCCTGACACACAATGAACAAACAACAACGAGGAGGATAAACAATGAACAATTATCAAACAAACTTCTGAAACTTTTCAACAACTGAGTAACTATGGACAACACGTAAAGCAGTGACACGGTCCGGCTTGACTCGGATGACCAATTAGCATGCACATAAGGCAGGTGTGGATGGGAGGGGTCAAACGTCCTGTCACACAACTCAAGAAAGTACATGCTTTTTCAGAGATTTGCTGATTTTACAAAATCTACTATACAAACATAAAAACAGGTTTTATCTCTGTTCTAAAACAAAACTGATACTTACATTAAGTCATATTTTTCCATAAAAGTGAATGATGTAATACGGATGAATGCTTCAGAGATGTAAATATTACTGTGTAGAATTATTACTGAAGTAATTTTATAAATATTCTACAGATGCAAAAGATGAAACAAAAACGAAAATGTAAAACAGAAAAAGGTCTAGAGCATTCAAGTGAGGAGGTGGATTTTTGTTATAATGAATACTGCCTTCTGTATATCTTTTGTTTCAAATGATGTTTATTTTTACTCAAACTGTACATTTTACCACAAATTTATCAAGATATAATTTCACCTGACATCAAAATTCAAAATCTTCAAGATTTATTGTTCCAAAAGAAAAAGGATTACGATTACCTCTCTCACATCTAGACCATGAACAAAGGAAGGAGGGAAGGAATACCATGCACACACCTTTCTTACTTTCATCTTTCTTGGGTTCTTCCTTGGCAGTCTTCTGTTCTTCCTCTCGAGAGGAAACTTCTCCGTTACGTAACCGACTTCGATAAGAGGATGTGCGTGCTAGACCGGAACTGCCTGTTAGACTAGTTGTAGTGTTGGTGTCAGACGTTGATAGGGCGTTGCGCTGACTGCGAGGTATGTAAGCTGCTGTGAGGGGAAGAGGGAGCAGGTCATTGTGATGTAGTGAAGGGAGGAGGGCTTAGTTATTGTGCACTGTTAGTCTGGTGCATCATGGTGATCTGCTTGCAAGGGAGAAAGACCTGGCATGTCCACAAGTCAAAATGCACTTCTGTCTTATGGCCATTTTATAATCAAAACATCTGACTGTCATCCCGCACTGCCTCACTATCCTATGAATATAGATCGATGCTCATGCTGTTGATCACTGGACTGTCTGGTCCAGACTTGATTATTTACAGACTGCCGCCATATGGCTGTAATATTGCTAAGTATGGTATAGAACTAAACGTGTGGCATAAAACTAAACTCACTCTATTATTTTACAGGATTTTTGTCAGAAAACAACTTCGAATGTTTTTCTACAGAATATCTGTGTGCTCAAAGGATTTTAATGGTACTTATATTTCAGTGGGTTTGTAGTCAAGTAATTGAACCACTTGGCAACAGAAACACTCATAAACCATAATAGCTTTAATCTCTTCTTTCAAGTATGACCAGCAAGAGGTATATAAGTCTGTACTCAGGTTACAGAATCTAAAGGGAATGTGTTACATCTTTTTTATACACCATGTTTCACATCCATTTACTACCCCAAAATGGAGACAACTGATCCTTGTTTCCTTACCTTGGGAAATACAACCAATACATAGTGATGACAACACCACTTGTGCTTATGTGAATCACTTTACCTTAGGGACAGTTTGCCATACAAAAACTAAAAGTTTTCTACCCCTACTTTTCAAATTGTATTGAAAAACTAAACAGTAATGTGTCACAGCCTTGGATATTGTTAATTCTTTAATTAAACAATGACAGATTTCATTTTCCTTCTGTGGTTGTGAGCGTTCATAACAACATTCCCAAGACACAACATGCACAAGGTGCCATCTTCATCAGCCATTCATGGTGATGCATATGCAAGGTAATTTTACTGTCTGTACTTGTGGGTGAAAGCAACTTACTACCCTCAAATATTCCTGCTGATTGTGTCAGGCAGACGACAGGCAAACCAGCAGTTGCAACATAAGCGCTGATACCATTAACTAGCTATGTTAACACCCAAGAGCAGTCAGTTCACACATTTGAGGTAACCAGTCCTTGTTTAATCACCTTTATGAGTGAGTGAGTTTAGTTTTACGCCGCTTTTAGCAATATTCCAGCAATATCACGGCGGGGAACACCTGAAATGAGTTTCACACATTGTACCCAAGGTGGGAATCAAACCTGGGTCTTCGGCGTGACGAGCGAAAGCTTTAACCATTAGACCACCCCTATTCAGTTAATGCTGACTGCCACAAGGGTAACAAGTTCCATCTTTCAACATCTTTTGGGATAGGAAGGCCAGAGAAATAACAATTGACCTTGACTTCTCCAAGCAGACGTTCTTTCCACCAGATCACGGTCACCTGTCATAGAACTTGTCAATCCAGTAATTATCAGACGGAGTTTATCCTTAACATGCCAACCATTGCAAGACAAAGAGTTAACCAAACTGAGCCTCTATGGTAACAACACATGAACTGGCCGAGGGAGTCATAGTACATATACTGACAACAAGGTGCTAACTTATGCTTCAACCACTGGTTTGCCCGTCTGCAGCCTGATGTCTGCAGCTGCCATGATGTAGATGTCACATGGCTGAAAACATCCTCCGCGTAAAACAACCTTTTACTTAGCTATAGCATGTTTGCAGTGAAAACGTACCAATGAGTTTCACTTTAAACAAAAAGGTAAATCAAATAAAGTGCACTTAAGATTGCGAATCCTCATAATTTTACCTTGCCAATTGAACTTTTAAATCTCAGAATTTTATTCAACTTAGGATAAAAGTTGTTTAACAAATGATCATAGTTTCAAATCGCTATTATTGGTTTGTATTACAAGGGGCTACGCGCAGTAGTTGGAACAGTGAAACAAATGCACGTGCGGTGCGTAATGAGCGTTAACTTAGACTACCATAGAAACCAACCCTTTTTGTTTTCGGTGTTTCATCTAATGTGCATACCCCCTTGTAATACAAACCAATAATAGCGATTTGAAACTATGATCGTTTGTTAAACAACTTTTATCCTAAGTTGAATAAAATTCTGAGATTTAAAAGTTCAATTGGTAAGGTAAAATTATGAGGATTCGCAATCTTAATTTCACTTTCTTTGATTTACCTTTTTGTTTAAAGTGATATTCATCGGTACGTTTTCACTGCAAACAGACTATAGTAAGGACCCAGTCCAACCAATTTTATAATGGATTTCATTTGTCAACTTACATGTAGAGTTATCTGAAGAATATTGACTACTGGAACTTGATAAATCTCTGGGTTGATCTCGAGACCTTCGAAAACTGCTCCTAGTATCATCCTGAAACACCCAAGGTCATGTTACCATTGACAGTGCAAGCACTGCCATATACATCACTGCACACTCTCTCCACCCAAGATCCCTGAGGTATACATCACTGTACACTCTCTCTCATCCAAGGCCATGTTACCACTGACAGTGCAAGGACTGAGATATACATCACCACACATCCTCTCCATCCAAGGTCATGTTACCATTGACAGCGCAAGCACTGCCATATACATAACTGTAAACTGTCTCCACCCATGGCCACTGCCACACACATCACTGTACACTCTCTCCATACAGTGCCATGTTACCACTGACAGTGCAAGCACTGAGATATACATCACTGTACACTCTCTCCATACAGTGCCATGTTACCACTGACAGTGCAAGGACAGCCATATACATAACTGTACACTCTCTCCATCCAAGGCCATGTTACCACTGACAGTGCAAGCACTGCTGAGCACAGAACTGAACCTGATAAATAGCCTCACTCCATCCAAACTCAAGTTACAACTTACATACATATAGGTATTTTGGTTCTCAAACTAAAATACAGTGGCAGGCACACAAACATGCATGCACACACACATACGCACACGCGCACACACACCATTGAAAAATTGTTTTCAGTTGCCCGTCAGGTTTGCAACACTAGCTAGAGGGTAGAAGCAATATAAATTTCATTGTTTGAACTGAGGATGTTTAAACTGCTGAAATCTGAAGTCAGTAAGTAAAGTTACGACTGGTCTTCAATGACAGCATTCCAAGCTAAAGGTAAACCTAGGACCATAGACTGGAGGTTTAGCTATAGCTACAACTACAAACTTTCTGTGAATTCAACCTAGCACACAACTTGGATACTGGCTTCAGATGGTAGCAATCATGTTTGGGAAATGCATCCCAAGCAATATAATCAAGATAATTTGATCTTGGTAATCAGGTTTCTAGCTAAATATGATTGTAATCTGGATTTTATACGGGGATTTCACACTGTGGGCTGAACGACTGGAACTATGATGATGGGGAGCTGACAGAACAGCTTCAAGAACACTCCAACTGTGGTACATCCAGGAATTACATGCAGCAGGTCTTGCGTCGACTTACTTCGTGACGATCTTCCAAGTTTCTCCGTCGATACGAAGTATCCTCAGAGGAAGTGTCTTTGGAAGACAAACTAGAACTAGTTCTATTTGAGTCTCTGCCTGAGTCTCTAGGCACGTCTCTACTCTCGGTAGAGGCACTGTCCGTCACATCCTTTTGTGATAAGCGAAGTTTTTCTCGGTCTTTGTCTGTTGAGGAGTTTCGTAGTGTTTCCTCTGCCTTTTCAATGTCTTCCAAAGAGACACCCTGACAAGTACATAAATGAATTTACAACATGTCAAGTGTTACAAGTGATTGGACGAACAACCTGTATACAACACCTGTAAATTGTTTATCATTAAAGATGAAGCAATAGTTCATATCTACAGCAGTATTTCTTCTAAATCAAACAGATAGCATATTTATATGACAGCAAAAAAACTGAGAAAACACAAAATAATTAAATTGATTAAACATGTAAAAATAAATAAGATCAATGAAAAGTCAACTGTGCAAAGAAAGACTATTACCACAGAAATTACAGTGTCAGGTGATATGTTGTCATGTCTAAACAAAATTCCACATATCTTTCACTTCAGATGAAATATAAATGAATATATAGTTGAAATATAAATGAATTTCCAAACAGCAAAGATGTTTGATGTTAAGGAGACAGGACACACCTGCGTTGATCGTCTTGTTTCTCTGGCTCGCTTGGCCCTGGCTTTCCTTTGAGTTTCTGTTTCTTCATCACGTTTGGGAGGTTCGTAAGACCTGAACACAGAGATAGCAGTTAGTTGGTACGCATGTACATAATGTTGGTTAGAGCTTCTGTTTTTTCCTGTTTTCTAAATCCATTTATGAGGTTTGTACCTCACCAACACCATGGAGAGAGTGCTTGATTAAGATTTTATGTTGCTTTCAGCAATATCATGGCAGACACAAGAAATAGGCTTCAAACATTGTAACCTTGTTGGGAACTGAACCCGGGTCTTCGGTGTGATGAGCAAATGATTTAACAACTTTATACAGCCATAGAGCCAGGGAGCACCTGTCGATGGATACTAGGCGCTTTAGAAATCAATTATTATTGTCCCACTACATTACACCATTATACACTGCTGGCATTAAACAGCAGAATAGTTGGAAAGGGAACAGTATTGCCTTATGTTGTATAATGCTGCTTTAAGCTACATTCAAACAATATCACTGCAAGGGAAACTAAGAAAGGGCTTCACACATTGCACCAAACCCAGACATGCCAACCCCAAAGTGTTGCAAATAGTAGTTTCAAAGATCAAAATTAGTAGTTTGACCATAAAATTAGTAGTCAACTATATACTTAAAATCATAACGAATTCTGAGAAAGATAATATGACACTAATCATGAGTGAAGCTTTAATTTCACATACCGGTTTCGTATAAACGGAAGGAACGGTCACATGGTTATGTCATTCTGATAGGATTGTCATTTTCCGCCGGTACACAAATAAGTAGGTCAAATCGCAAAAGCACTGAAATCAGCTTCAGATTTCTGATAGACAGTTTTGCTAAAATTACGTTTGGTACTTACAATGATTCCAGTTCAAATATGTCATTAAATTTGATGAGTGGAAGTGCGAAAATGTATTTCATTAACGAAAACATATGTTTTTCTCCATATATCCGAATTTTAATGAATTTTCTTCAAATTTCATAGAATTTCTAGTGCAAGCGTATTGGCGTAGTTTGAAGCTAAAATTCGTAGCGACTACGATTACGTCATAGAGGTTGGCATCTCTGCAAACCCTATTTTTTTTAAAGATTGGTTTGATTGTTTTTTTTGTTTAACGCTGCACTCATCAATATTCCAGCTATATGGCGGCAGTCTGAAAATAATCGAGTCTGGACCATACAATCCAGTGATTAACATATCATGAGCATCGATTTACACAATTGGGATACGATGACATGTGTCAACCAAGTCAGCGAGCCTCGTTAGTTGCCTCTTACGACAAACATGGGTTACTGAAGCTAAATTCTAACCCGCATCTTCAAGGGTAACTTGTTTATTCTTTTGATTTGACAACTTTTGCTATAAACACTGAAACTAAAGTCAAGGGCACAAACCTTCTGAATACTGAATTGGTACTAGTGGGGGTCGTTGGTGAAGTGACAGTTGTGGTTGCTGATGATACAGACGTCGTGCTAACCGTTGTCGTGGAAACAGGTCCAGTTGTTGTCGTGACCGTGGACACAATGGACGGTGTTCTGGAAATAATTCTATCCTGATAATCTTGGCCATCCCTGCGACTCGTACGATCGTTCATCCTGCGATAATACGGCTCGTACTGAGAATGGTACGTGAAGCCAGAGGAGTTATAGGAGGAAAGACTGCGGTAGGGGGACCTACTCTGGTCCATACTGCCTGTATGACTATGCCTGGAACGAACAAGCAGAATATGGCATGCATCATGCACGGGTCGACGGTCGCCACAATGACGAAACGAGAAGCAAATGCAATCACAAACAGGCAGTCACATACACTCTGGGGGATGTCATGATTCACCAATACATTTGAGCATTGATAAAACTCTCAGATGATACGATACGCGACACACACTGACATTGAACTTCCATGTTTTCAACTCTTTTGAATAAATTTTACACCCTTCAAAATGTAAAAATTCACCCAAAATTGTTGTGAATTATTATTATTATGAATTATTATGGCCACTATATAACATGGATTGAGTATCGCGATACATATCAAATCGAGAGACTGTAATATCGTGACATCCCTAATACACACATATCTACAATTGACAGAACATGCTTGTCAGTAGCTCAAATATCAGTGTTAATCATGCAGTCGTTATCACGACTAGTCTGTTCAAGTTGAACTTATAAAATAGTTCCAAGATGTTGTCAGTTTTCAGATTTCCAACTTCAGAAATTCATTTTGATGTTAAGGAATAAAATAAATGCATATCAAAATGTAACTGAGCAAAATGCAAAAGCATTGGCAACATTCAAAATGTCATAAACAACAACAAAGAAGTCAACTTATCAACAAATTAAAGTCCTATTTTTAGTGACTTATGTTCTGTAGCAGGGCCAAACAGGTGTTAATAAAAGGATAGGAAATGCATTTCAGTGATGTAACTGTAATTTTGGGTCTGTTTACTTATGTCGAACATCGAGGTCAATTTGGATAAAAATCTGAGCTACTGACTTGTTCATAGGTGTAGGGATAGTTGTACTTGCTCTCTCCAGAAAATACACAAACGTGTAATCATATTTAAACTTGGGGGGAAAAAAAGAAGTCTCAAATCACATTCTGATTATTTTCTGGAGATGGCATACTTGTAAGTAAGTAAATATTAATCAATCAACATGCCAATCTAGATCACATATAATCTTTCAGACAACACCTACAGCAAGGCCACATCTGGATGTGACATGTGACCTGTTTAGTTTCAAAGGGGATCAGCACTATAGATTGCAAACAATCTCATCAGCTTGCATCAACTTATGCTAATACACAGTCTGGGATATTTTTCAATTTTGGATAATATTTCCATATTATTTTTCAAATATTCGCACTTGACTATTTCATCAATAAATATACAAAAATGTCTTCAACTGTTACAAAAGAGTGGGCTGTTTTACCAACATGAGCAATAACTTGATAACTTTTGGCCTATTCTGCAGATTTTGTTTTCAGTTATTGTGCATTTGTTCAAATGTGACTTCGAGTTAGAAATTTCAATATTGAGTAATTGATCATCCTTCTCAACATCCAACATTAGAAGAGTGCTACTTATTAGACTGTAGAGATGGTGGTCTGAGTATGGTACATTTGTCACCGAGATGAAACATGCAACATGTATGAAAGAAAATGAATGTTTCAGAAGATTGGCATGCAGAGTTGGGACTAGACTACTCTCCTCAATGCTTCATGTGCATCATCAGCAAGTGTGTAAACCTGCGGGTATATCAATGTCACACACACAACATGAGAGCCTCAGACACCAAGCACATATCATTATCACACCTCGCTAACTAACGAATTAGCAAGATGTGATGATGGTATCCATTTTTTCATCCATTATGACTTTCCATCATAATATTCTTCAAATTGTAAAGATTTCATTGAAACGATGTGATTAAAGATGGGAGAACACTGAAACTGTTTCCATTTAAGTCCAATGTTACTTCAGATGAAGCAGAAACCAAAATGAATAGTTCGTAAAATGGCATCTTTAGGCAGTTAAAAGTCTCTCTAATTATATTGGATGAGTTTCAACAACGTGTTACCAATGCCGTGTGTGTGACTCTACTGGACTAACTACACTGCAAGGATATAAGTAGTAAATTGACTAAACTGATCCGATATAGTGACACGAAATCAATGAGCGTGACACTCCACTCACTGCCGGCTCCGACTTCCAAGTCCTTTGACCAAAAATCATATTGTTTCGTGATGGAAATGTTTAACATCAAACTACTTACTTCAAACAATCCACCATTGTTCATTATCACTAAACCAGACATGATCAAGCCTTTGATCCACAATATCAAAGTCATCTTTTAGTTTTAATGTTTATGATATCCTGGAGACAATTTCAGTCTTCATCCAGTGATCTCATTAAAACCCTGATCTCGGCTGACCTTGATTTAAAATGTTTTTGAAGCGGGCCATGTGAGTGGAATGTCGAGATACAACATAGTTAGAATTGACTTGTTCCTGAACCCATGAGATAATGTTGATAAAATACAAGTATTATACCTCTATTCTATTACGATATATATCTATCTATACTAGTTTAATATACACCCTGCATCCATTTGCCACCACAGCGCCATTTTTCATATCCCTAAATTTTTCTGATCATCCATTGAAATCCACAATTCAACAAAATCCCTCCTGAGTGTGTGTTCAGCATAAATTTACATTCCAAACTGAAGACTTGCTTGAACAGGCCCTTGATATATAAAAATTACCATCAGCTGGAACAGACACTTTGCTGAGTGTAAACAAAGGGCAACCGAGTTGCCTATAATAACAGGACCTATCAAGAAGCCACAGAGGTGAATAGGTTCAGGGTATATATCACAGAAAGTAGATATAACGCCCTCGATTACAGAGGATGTAGAGGATGCACAAGACAAGCACTGTATGATCATGACAATGTTGCGCTGGTTACATGATGTTTGTTGTTTAATGTCACACTCTGCAGTATTCTAGCTATATGGTAGCTATCTACTGTCAAATCTGCACCAAGCAATCCAGTGATTGATACCATGAACGGTCGTCATCTTGGGGGTTAATGACACGCAGTCACGGAATCACAGAGTTGACCAACTGATCCATTTGTGTCCTTGTACAACCAACTTAACCACAGAATCTCCCTGTGACTAGTCACATGATCCTGTCGCTCCACGTCCACCTATGGTCAGCTTGGTCTGGTGGAGACTGTCAGTGAGTGTGTTTCACTTCCCCATAAACAGTACTTCAGTTGTACCCAAGTGTGTCTAAAGAGGGTAGAGAACCCAAGGCGGCACATATTGTAGACACTGATCAAATAGTGCCATGTTATGGGTGTGGTACTAACAGACCAATGATCACAAAGGGCAAATGGAACTTCAAAACTCCACCAATCTGACCTTGGTAGCTAAGGGAGACAACTCTGTTAATCATGATACTTATAAATGTGGTGCAAAACATTCTCTACAATTCAAATCTCCACAATCAATATGACTGCGACAGATATTCAACTGTTGCACAACACGCAGATAAAAGACATCTAAAACACAATACAGGGCCCTTATTCCCTAACTGTTCGTAGCCCTAAGAATTCTGAACTTTGATCGGAGCCAATGTGTTAGAATGGGCTTAAGAAGTTCCTAGGGCTACGAACGTTCCGAGAATAGCTAGCCAGGACTAGAAATAATGAACATGAGATGATCTACTGAAGGGATGACAAAAGCCACAGCCACAGATGTTGTATGTAAAGTTGAGCGGTACAGCAATGAAAAATAGTGCAATAGTTGCTAGAATGAAACACATGCCCACATGAGTAGAGGTATGGATGCTACAGTGTTACATCTACTAGTGACACCATGCCAGCTATGGAATACAGGCTACAGACGTGGAATAAGGAGTCCATACAGGCATTGCCATATTCTGCTTGTATTCAAAGTAGTCTGGGGAGGTGGGACCACAAGACAGGTACTGATTCATTATCATCAAATCCAGGTCTCCTATTCTCAAGTTCAATGCTCCACTGTGTGAAGATCTGACAAATCTTCCATGATGTCAAATCAGGTGAACGTTTAGTCAGTCAGATGAACTTTCTAATCAGCTATCAGTTTTGAGGTTTCAAATTCCAAGATTTCTGTATCTCAAAAGTGAACACAAATGGACAGTTACAAATGGAAAACAAAAAAAGGCAGCGATGCCATATTTTTTTTAGGTATCTCACACATACCCTGTTGTTGCATAGAAACACAACAATTACACGAAAAAAGTCTGCCATCAAGGGAATGTTTGTCCTCGCTGTGGTCTTGGTGTGTTAATATCGAAACTTACTAAACAAGGGTTAAAGAAATCAAACAGCACAGTTTTAGAAAGCTGATGTGTAATTGGGTGAAGAACCCACATATATTTCAGTCAGCTTGTGTTGTCAAGTTCATCTGATTGTCTGTGGACAGTTTGGCAAATCTTCACACAGAGACATATTACATAGGATAAAAGATCTAATAATAATGAGTGTGGGTGCTGATTGTGATACTGTAACGATGTCATCATCACCTTCACCCATGTCTGTGCATCAATACATATTCACTGTGTCTTAAAAATGTTCACTCAAACTTGTGAAAGGTAAGAGACATTGAACATTGGCTCCTGAGAAACAGTCAAATGAGGATCCAGCAGCCTTTGACAATACATTATCAACAGTAGTGATAATTAATGTTACTCTTCAACATTTATCATGTCTCTCAAAGCCTGTTCCATCTTCATTTGACAGAGCGACTGCTTGAGACATGTATATGCATGACCGAATTATCTCAGCAAGTCCAATATGGTGAAGAACACAATGACTTCATACATTATCTATAGACAAATAATTATAAACTGTCATGTTAATCGGTAGAAGCATTTGGGAAGAACCAGAATTAACTGAAGATGATCATGAGATGATCTGCAGTCAGTTGGGAGCTACACACTTCAGCAGTATTTCAGCCATCGTCTGAACCAGAGGAAACAACATGAGCGAGTGAATATTGTTTCTGCCTCTGTCAGTAAATCCATATCTACATGATGGCAGACAGGACATAACCACCCCCATGGTTGACGCTATGATCCCAGCAATTCTGGTCTCACACTGTAACAAACCATGTGACAAGCATGGTGTACTGTGGACCACTCCCAGCCCTGAACCTGTGGGTAGACAGCAAGAGAACTGATCCCTGCAGTCAGGGTACAAACACACTCTACTGCTGTCTAAAACAGGGCAGGTCAAGTGGTCATTTCCTCGCAACTAATGGCTACAAACTATACACTACTTACCTTTCTAGTTTTCAAAAAGATGAATGCAATTAAAAGTGATATTCCATGAAACCACTGAGTGACTGTATAATGACTTATCTACTGAAGCTGAAAGAAAACAGGACCTATTTGGGAATGATCCACACTGTCTCACCCAGGGGAGACAATTCTTGGTTGCCACCAGTCTGCAGACCAACATACCTATCAGTTACTTTAGAATCTCCCTTGTCTGGTGATGACACGGCTGTAGTGCCTTGTGAAGATCTTCGAGTACCATTACGATCCTGAAAAAGTAGCCAACAGTTTCAGCATGTGAACCATAAAAAAATCGACCTAATAACAATTCCAGGTGATAAAGTTGTCTTCAAATTATCAAAGTTATTTCGATGTTATGTGAACAAGATGTACATTTGTGCTTGACGTGCCTCACTGTTACCCATGCCCCATAGAAAGTTACAATAATATGCCTCAGGAAATAAAATATGAAAGCTACAACAAAGCAGAGAAGATATTAACTGATTCAAAATTAAACAAAGACAACATAAGCACAATAGATATTTAAAAAGATTTGTGAAAGCAAAGCTCAGTCTTCAGAGTGCAGTGTATTACAATAAATATTTGATAAGTCATCCACTGCCCCAAGCAATAGATGGATAACATATGATTATAGTTATGCTCATTCTCCCTCAGATTAATACGTTCATGAAAGGCAGAATTAATCTGTAATGAGCTAAGAAGAAGGTTAAAAATTGTTCGCCTCAAAAAAATGTAGTAACCGACGCAGTATTTTGTTTGTTTTCATCACTTTTTCGAAAGTATTTTGACTACACAAAAGACCAAAGAAATCAATCAAAAACATTCTCAGTAAATAAACATTTTGTGTCAAATGTTAATTTGAAGAAACATTTTCCATCTTATGGTACATCAACAAGACTTTTGTATCAACCCAATTCGCTGCAGGTCTAACAGTTGGGAGTGGGGTAGCACAACTCACAAGACATGTTGCAAGAACAACTTAGTAACTCTACCAAACAGGGAGAACAACACAAACAAGAACTGTAACAAGGGTTTTGACTGGCCAGCAGCCTGACTCACGTCCTCTATCCTTTGATCAAAAGCTAGTCTTGGACTAGACGCAGATCTAGGTAACGACCTATCATCTTCATTTTCCTTGCTCATTCTTTCATGCACCATGCTAGTACTGCCGGTCTTCCGAAGGCCTGCTCTCCAAGCAGAGTAGTCATTGTCTCGGGACTTGTGATTGGTCGAAATTTTCAAGCCCTTCACGCAAGGAAAATAAACCATGCAATTAGGCTTCAAGCAGTCAGAATTCTCATCTTTTCGCCACACATTCGTTGTGTCACAAATTTGAACTTATCACTATTTTTCCCCAATATCATTTGTGTTCCCTGACCTTGCTGCTTTTAGTGGTTTTAGAATTTGTTAGTAAGATTTTTATGGAATTAAACATCATTGTTCAAGAAACACCTGCAAATCTCAATATCTTTCAAAGAACAATTTGCTTGTGCCAATTGTATTACATCATTCAATCAGTGGCAACTAAATGACAGCATCATGTTCACAATCAAGTGTGTACGTGTCCAACCATTCCTTGATATTGGGAATAAGGTCATTGATTTAGCCAGACTAAGAGCTTGATATTCACACCTAAGTCAGTGCAAATGTCAGTAAAAATGACGGTGGAATATTACACTTCCCAATTAATGTTAATCAGTACTATTTTCTGCCTTTGTCAAACTGGAATTGTAATCGCTGACCAATCTGGGCAGAAAAGCAATTTCCCAAAATTACCTGGCACTTAGTTTGGTATCCTGTATCAACCAGGTCCCATGATTACATAATAAAGCAGTCCTCATGATGTTCTCAGTACTATCCACTATGTGAAGTTATAATGACTATCAGTGTGACAAGGGGTACTGGCATGTTCAGAATGTATGAAATATGTCACTACAGGGATAGCGGGCAAATGTGTGAGAAATATGTTGTCCAAGTCTATAGACAGTATTTTCCAGCTGTAACAGTGGTTTGTACACTGTCAAATCTTGGAAAGGTAGTGAATGAGTGAGAATGGTGTTACGCCACTTTTACAAATGTTCCATTAATATCCTAGAAGGAGACACCTGAAATGGGCTTTAAACCTTATACTGAGGAAGGGAATCGAACCAGGTCTTTGATGTCATGAGCGAAGCGCTTTAGCCATTAGGCTACAACATTGCCCCATGGCCAGATGAGTGAGTTTAGTTAACACCACTTTTAGCAATATTCCAGCATTATCACTGCAGGGGGCACCAGAAATGGTTTGTACATATTGAACACATGTGAAGAATAGAATTCCGGATCTTCAGCGGGAGCAGCGAACACTTTAACCATTAGGCTGCAACGCTTTAACCATTAGGCTACACCACTGTCTCATGGCCAGATGAGGTCAAGTGCCAATGGTCGATAGTATGAGCACCTACCCACAGATCCCCTATGTAACGATGATGCTACTTACAGATGTGGGATTCACATGACGAGATGCCTTCCATAAACCTATTACTTCCTAGCAAGTTGTTGATATTGGAATTACAAGTAAGTTAAAGTAATAATAGCATACCAAACTGTGAATAATCATGCTTGTATATATATTTTTGTATGTATTAAAGTATGACAAAGCCAAAGCATATGTACATAATGGTATAGAGTACATGTTTTCTCAACAAAATGATTTAGATATTGGCTTGTCCCAACAACCCGACCGTGCCAGCTGTTTACAGTTGCTTATTGGTAGTTGTACATTTGTGACAGAACTATGTGTTAGTGAAAAGAAGGTTCATTGTCAGAGAGATAACATTAACATACCTTCATGAACAGCAAGAAAAGGACTTTATCTTAGCAAAAATACTGAGCTATGAAACAATCTTTTTCTTGCTACACATGAAAAGATAAACAAAAATATGTATTATTACCAGACTTGAATTAAAATCTGTTAGATTTTAGCAAAACATTTTGGCATGCAGATTTACTCAAGTTTTCATGCAACTTTAAGGAACATTAACAAAGAAACTGTTTTGTGAAACTAACTTGAAAATTATTAATGAAAATGCAAAAGTCTGATAATATGATAAAATCACAACATGAACAATAATTGATAAGGCATTCAAAATCTGAAAAAGTGAAATACCCATTCAAAAAGTCAAAGATCAAACTTGGTGCATCCATGTTAGACATCTGATGGAACGAGGGTGTTAGATGGTCAACGAAGGGAGATAACTTGGACATTCTAAGGGGAGTTAATCATGCAGCCACCATCTTACCTCTTCATCAGTTGGAAGGCTGGACGGTGCACTGATTGACCTTGAAATAAGTTCTTTGGGGGGAGGAACTATGGAGGTATCCTTAATTGTAGAGTTAGAGGAATCCTTTACAGACTTATTGCTGTCTTTAACGGAATTGGGTGTTTCCTTGAGAAAAGCAACGTAAAGGGGACATAAGCTCAATGAATAGAGGCAGCTGTAGATTTTAGAAAACGGGCATGCTAAAGTTGTTCATGGATACACACAATACACATGCATATAGATATATATCTTAGGATGAAAATATGAAAACATTGATGTGAAATTCAAGTTTGGCATAAAATAATGTCTCTAGGTGCACATATACCGCAGTGAATGTGATTATACTCATGCATTGGTTAGATATATATGTCATACACAAGGTGTAAATATTTCAGTGTATAGTATCTCCTCTGCAACTCTGAACTGCAGAGAGCTGGTTATAACTATTCAAAGCATATTTTACAAGATTACTCAATGGTATACAAGCAATATTGCTTTCTTACTTTACCATTTATTTGGTTTTAAAAAGCATTAACCTTAATTTCATCAACAGATGCAGATACATGCATTAAAGAATTTGAAATATCGCAAGCAGTTAGTGTAATTCACTTCATTCATTTCTCTACTGACCTAATAGTCACAAAGTTATCAAAATAGATATCTCATCAAGATCAAATAATGTACTTTTTCAAATGATGCTTCAATGTAAGTTGTATGAGTGGCTTGATCCAGTATAATCTTTTAATGTCTCTAGTTATGTAATAATCGGTTAATATTTGCAAGGTGAGGAATACAATCCAGGTGATTGAGCACAGTGCAGGAGCATCAAGTTTCAGATTGAGTAAAAGCAGTCACAAGAATGAACGAGGTTCGGCGAGGTCCGTGGGGGAGGTCTTTCTCAACTTATTCCATCCTCCGAATCAACGCAGGTCTCAGCTTACCATCAGTCTTCAATTTACACAACCGTTCATCAGCTTTCAGCAACCTGTATTCTTTGCTCTAAGTTGTCCACAATTTTGACATAAATGCATCATACAGTTATGAAACTTCTTTCGCTGATTCCAATATTCCACGGTGTTCTCTTTTGTCCACTCATCTATGAGCTATTTTGCCACAGGTGCAGTCTAACGGGCACAGATGCCTGCATTTCTATCACAGATCTCTCTCACTTGCTTAACCTCCATACTTTTTTGCAATCAGGGTTAACTATAGTTGATGCCAAACACTCAAATCTCTTTTCACCCTTCAATATGGTCTGTTACAGGATAAAATCATTTTATTTGTTGGATAACAAATCTTAAAGTCATAGTCCCTTCAAAATGGACAAAAAAACACCAAATATTCCAAATTTACTTCTTTTTTTTTTAATTTTATGGCAACACTTCATAATTGCAAAACTATTTTGAGATTCATATGTGTTTTCCCCAAAATACAAATCATCAGTCAGTTCAGTCAATGAGTCAGAGTGATTTTTCTTGCATAATAATTTAAGAGTTATCTTTGCGTTGTCTTTCAATACACAAGCTTTAAGTACCTTTGTCTTCCAAGAAAGAATGATAAGAAACTTCTGACTTTGACAAAAATTTTTTTGGGTGATCCAACAAATTGAAAAATCTTGGCCTTGTCAACAGAAAATTTTGGACTGTATTTTTCAGAATTCTTGGCTGTCTTAAGGATGAAGGCACAGCAGCAATTGAAATGCAAACATGTGCCCAGTTAAGTGCACTGCTCCTATTTTTGCCAAATCAAATGACAAAAGAAAACGTTAAATTTTCCCACAGCCAAAAAGTAAACTAAGAACCAGAAACAAGCCAAAGAATATTGGTCCAATTTAACATATGAAGTTCAATCTTTTGAAGCATAGCTAGATTCACTCTCTCCTGCTGATGGCTACATCCGATACAAAGCAATCAGGATTCTGGACTACTACAGTGTCAAGTTGATTTTGTGACCCCTCCCCAAATGACCATCACATGTAAAGCAGGGAGAATGTGTTAAGTGTCGCAAGTGGGTTGGCCTTTAAAACTTTCGTCAATATTTGCTGATCTGGCTACTTGAATATTCAGAGTTAATTTGTCAGTATCAGATGAGTACATAGCACACTCATCACTCTCAACAGCATTAGACGATGTCACTCAATCAAAATGATTTTATTATGAATTGTTAATGATTTCACTAAAATATACGCAAGCTGTTGAAATAAACAGTCGCTGACTTACTTCTTCTGTGCTATTCTCAACAGACTCTCCATTGCTAACAGTTACGGTTTCATCTGTTGCAGGGAGAATGATTTCACTTTCTGTGATTGTTTCTGTTTCTGTTTCCGAAGTATTTTCTGTTTCCAAAGTATTTTCTGTATCTGAAGGTATTTCTGTATCTGAAGGTATTTCTTTTTCTGAAAGTTTTTCCGTTTCTGAAGGTTTTTCTGTATCTGAAGGTTTTTCTGTATCTGAAGGTTTTTCTTTTTCTGAAAGTTTTTCCGTTTGTGAAAGTTCTTCTGTTTCTGAAGGTTTTTCCATTTGTGAAAGTTCTTCCGTATCTGAACGTTTTTCCGTTTCTGAAGGTTCTTCCGTATCTGAAGGTTTTTCTGTATCTAAAGATTTTTCTGCTTCTGAAGGTGTTTCTGTTTCAGTTTTTTCTGCTTCCACTATGTTTTCTGTTTCTGGGATATTTTCTTTGTCCGGACTTATATCCTTTTCTGGTACATTTTCCTTTTCTTGGATTTTCTCTGTTTCGGAGACCTCATCTATTATTGGCATCTTATCGACCTCCGTACGAGTCGGAGTTTGGTCTCGCTCCTGAGGCTGCATGCAGATAAAGGCAATCACTGCTATGGAACTACTACTGTCATACATAGTGATGTTGTCCATGCATAGTTACTACCAGTGCTTCAACACAGTCCTAGATGCTTCACCTTCAGGACAATTTGTCCATTACACATGTTACTGAATGTGTCTAACAAGAGACACGTTTCCCCATTTGACATTCCTATTTTGCTACATCTACATTTGGAGACTAAATATTTCGAAACATTATGATTGTTTCCATTGAATACCATTTTCTTTTGAAAAATTTTGGAACCAACCAATCTGAAAACTTAACTCTAATCTAACAGATAGCCATGAAATCAGTTTGCGGTATTCTGTTCAAAACAATGCTTAAACCTTTAAGATAATTCCAGCTCTAGATTTGCACATATCGGCATTCACTTTCCATTGTTTATATACAGATCTGCTTGTAGTGTATTCTTTGTTTAAAAAGGCACTGTTAGAAGCATTGATAAAATATATACTCTTATTCTTACAGTGTTTGCTGGCATGCATCGGCTAAGTGGCTCATAGCTAAAATGCACGATTCCTTAAAAAGCTACTTGTCTCCTTATCAACCCATTGCACATGGGAAATCTAGTGTGCAATGTTCAGTGTAAGCGTAATTTCCAAGCTTGTAGCCTGCCGCTAATTTAAGCAAATGTGAGTGTCAACGGTGTGCATTTACCATGCTGATTGTTCAGTGCTTTGTTTGTGAACATGAACAGTGTTCAATCAAGCTGTTGCTGTACTGATTTAGCAATCCTGTCTTTCAAATAGTTAGCAAAATAAGTACTGGTGATCATGTTACAATCCATGAGTACTGATAAAATCATATTTAACATTTCATAATCATGGAAAACATTATTTTCATTTAGAATTAGACATACCAGAATGGAGACATTCATGTATATTCAAATGCAAGAGCTATAATTGCAAATTCAAATCATGCAAAAATAATATAATCAACTGAAAATCTTGTAATGCATGGAAAATGTGTGTATGTTCTTTGAAAACCTAGTAATTATTAAGATGTTTGTGATCTCATTTCCTCATCCCAGAGCATGCAGTACTGAATCCCAACCAAATTGTTTATGACTGACTGAAATGTGAAGATAGAATTGTGAAACATGCAATGTGAATCCCAGGGAAGGTAACCTACCTTGTCTGTCTGGGAGGTCTGCTTGTTGATCTCATTCTGTCGTTCTGCAAAGGAATTGTATAATACTGTGTACAACTGATTATCTTCAAAATGTTTCGAAAATAACCGATCAACTTTAAACAAATTGGTAGCTAATAGTCAGTAATTATTGCTTTTAAAACCCTTGCTTAACTCAGCAATAGGGAACAATGCTGTGCTTTGAACTACAGCATTGCCCATGACATATGGGAGGTAACTCTAACCTGTTTCTGTGCTGCCCTCTCCTTCACTACCGGAACTATCAATCTTGTCACTGTCACGCTTGATGATCTTGTTGGTCTCAAGCGCCACACGTTCTTGTTCGGAGGTTTTGTGTAGAACGTTCTGCTTTTGATCTCCACTCATACGCGTCACAGAACTCCTGGAAAAATAAACGTTATTAATTAACAGTACGCAGACATTTCTTAAATATTATGAATACACAATGCTATTTAGAATGTAGTCAAATGTAACACGTTATATTTGGGATTACACTTCCTCAGTATAGTACAGATTCTAGTTCTTTTATTAGGTTGAGATCTAATAATAGTTTTGGGTTTTTTCTTAATAACAAAATGTTTTAAATTCACCTGAGATGTTTCATTCTTCAATGATAGTTCAATGGAACATGGTACAGAATTAATGTGAAGTGACATCTGCCAACAGCTCATACCTCTCATTGAATTTGGAGGGTCATATTATTAAAGTTTGTAAGTGCAAAGAAAAATCATGTATCAACAATAGCTTATGTGTATTAATACACACAGGATGAGAAAACCTAGTATCGGAAACTCAATAAGTGAGATTGTTATCTAGCAGTATTCCAGCAATAACAGGACAAGGGACACTAGACTGACTGACTGAGTTTGGTTTTACGCCGCTTTTTAGCAATATTCCAGCAACATCACGGCAGGGGACACCAGAAATGGGCTTCACACATTGTACCCATGTGGGGATTCGAACCCGGGTCTTCGGCGTGACGAGCCACTGCCCCAGGGACACTAGAAATTAGCCTTATGCTTGGGAATTGAACCAGGCCTTTGGTGAGACAAGTTAACAAGGAACCCTCTAGGATACACTACTGACTCGTACCACCACACAGCCAGGGTGTAACATCCTTAATCAGTCTTGCTGTCAGTTCATGTGGTCACACAATGTATTCAACATGTACTGAAACATCTACCCATTTCAGTTCCCTATATAAGAAGCTTGAGGCACTTAAAACTTAGTTTAAAGTAAAAAACGAACTTCACATTGAAAAAGATGAACATGTATGGTACAAGAAACACAACATGTGGATTCATGTCCGGTTTAGTCAACTGGTTCTACCCGGACTAGCTGATGAGAAGGTGAGAGACACATCGACCAAATCTGGGCGTGTTGCTGTCCTCTCAGCAAACACACACAAACCAAGATAGACATGTATACAAACCAAGATAAAACCACTCAGCTAATTTCAACAGCCCTCAAGTCCAGCGACCAATAGTATTGACATAAGACAACTGGCAACTTTTATTCGCACGAAACACTAACTCTGTGAGCGAAGCATCAGAAACCAACATGCAGGATCCACCTGACAACTGGTTATTGGTCAGTGTACAGTCAGTGAGTTTAGTTTCACGCCGCTTTTAGTAATATTCCAGCAATATCACGGCAAGGGACACCAGAAATGGGCTTCACACATTGTACCCATGTGGGGTATCTAACCAGCGTCTTCGACGTGATGAGTGAACACTTTAACCAGTGTCAGTATACAGTGTACACATTCATGTACATGGTTATACGATATCAAGTTACATTGGGATGTGTTCTTATTGTGACTTCTGAAACTAAGGCTAATTTCTGACTCAGGATCAGGTCTCAGATCACTTTCATAGATGCAGCTCTTTCAGCATTCAGTACAGCTGCACCAGACAGAGACACAATGACCATTTATGTGTACATCCATACACTGTGGTATCAATATCAGCAAATTACACAAACCATTAAATTTTGTACTGCCAAATGAATGTGCTATAAAACCAACATACTGAAAAATCACACACATAAAACAAAAAACCCATCATTTCACAAGAGATCCTTCACCCATCAACAATTCAATGCATCTATGTATTAATGCATCCATGCGTAACAGATCACCTACTTAATCACACATTCAACTGTAACATAACCAATACATATACTCTGCAAAGTTGATGGGCAATCAATTTTATCAGAAAAGAAACATCTATTAATTGGTTATGATTAAGCATTCTACCTCAGAAAATCGTGCATTTCCTCCAATCAGATAAAAAGTGTTGCCACTTGAGTAATGCAACAGCATGTCCCCACCTCGACAGTGACAAGATTAATGACTGCCTTTCTTGTCATACCTTTCCTCAACACAGGATGTGTACAGATTGTTGAGGATGTGAGTCACACAAAAAGTCAAATAATTAGCTCCACCAAATGTTGTTATTCAGGTATTTCCCCATTGTGGCAACAGTGAAACAGTCAGTTTGTTGTTTAACACTGCACTAGATATATTCCAGCTACATGAGGTCAGCCTGTAAACAATCTGGACCAGTGATTGACATTGTGAGCACCGTGCCCTGTCGGAGCAGTGGGGCGACATGCTGTCATCACAGTTACCTGACAAACCACACCTCAAATGACAAGCATGCTTCTGGTTGTTTCATAACCTCTCATCCATGAACTAACAGCTTAGCAAAAGTTCATCATCGTTACATATCTTATTGCACTGAAAACAGACTTCTGAGAAAATGTGTGTTTACTACTACATCAAAGAGCACTCCAGATGTACCATAAACCTAACACATAGACAGTTATTGGATAAACTTAGTGGACAAAGATACATTTTACTGTAGTGGGATTTATGCTGAATAACTGTCCATAGACATCAACTGTCCACTCTCCAAGTCATCATCACAGACATCACAATGGTCCTCACATCTCATGAATGACCAAACAAAGCAGGAAATCGCTCTTCACAATGATAAACACTCGAAACACTAAAAACAATTACCAAATGGAGGTTCACGGAGAAAGTGTTCACTTGACACATCAAATACCTTGGTTCAACTCCCATATGAATAAGCTGTGTAAATCCTAATGTGCCATGCATTGATATGACACCCATTGCGAAAAAGTATAACAATATCAAGCTCACATATGACTGATTATTAAATGACAGTGTACAGCAGAAATACCTAAGATTAGCCAGAAATCAGAACGGTCGAGCACCAAAACCATCCTCACCAAGGTAAAGGTCACAGGTGAAACCCTCCATTGCTCTGTGGAACCTGTATGTACGTACATGGACAAGCCAGGTTTAGTCCCAGCCACGCAAGCTATCTCCATCAAAGTGTGGTCAGTATTACCCTTGTACCAGCAAGTCCTTTTATCTGGACACAGTAGCAGACGGTCAGGGAATGTTTGGGCATATACAGGCCACGGATTAGACTAATCCTTATATATAATATACAACAGAGGTCCGCAAGCCAAGAGACCACAACATGGCTGTTTGTGCTGGGGATTAAGTGCTTGACAATTCGTTAAATGCCACTTCAGTTACAATCAATTCTATTACCACCATACCTATATTATTTTTTCCCAAATGTAAAGCCATTATTCAGTTTCACGCCTTGAGTGATTGGTTGTTCATACTGAGAGTTTACTTAGGCTAGAGTATTCAACTGTTCTATTAACAAAATATTTCAGCTGATCCATACATATGAATCCTATTTAGATATTTAAGCATCAACAATGTTTTCTAAAATGCAATTTTACTCAATAAATCCAACAACAGTATGAAATTAAGAATGATATGCAAGTAGTTCTTCTGACGAGCTTTACGTTGTGATCAAAATACTACCTCAAGATCTCCCTGAATAGCAAAAGTTTGTTACAAGTATACAGATTTAATCACTGGCATAGCCATCTCAAAGCTTCATCAACAAATACTTTGATGCATTATATATTTCATCCTTAAAATGATACTGATTCTCAAAATTATTCCGTACATAATTTCATCATCACATCTAACAATCAGTGACTGTAAGTCTTGCTATGTTTCGAATAATGATATGGAAATTAAATAAAGCCTACAACTTCATGTAATATCTCTAAAACCAAATGCTATAATTCCACAAAAAACACCTTAACAAATATGTGTCACTTTAAAATGAATCATAATTCAATTTAATTTTCAAATGCAAATGACAAAAGAACCAATTATACCGACAATTCTATGTGCAATTTAAGCCATATCTACAAATGTAAATGCCCCAATAAGTATTATTCATCCCTATGTACAATTTCCCACATGCTTGGTGACTGACTCATATCTCAATGGTTGAAAGACTCCCTTCGTAGCACCATGAATATCATCCACCAACAACACTGACTGCCACAGATAGAGATAAGTAATGAGCATATAACAGGCTCCCAGCTACATTGATCAACACTGTTTAGAAATCACTCATGCACACATCCAGGTGAGTGTCACCACAATGACACACAAAACAACATTTTACCTTCCTGAAATATCATCAGTAAAAACCCACTTTATCTGCTCCTTCGTAAAATGTATATCAAGCAGACGTGAATTTGGTACCTGCGATCTCCATGTTAAAGCTGGGAGACAGAGTGAAAGAGGAGAGTTTAACGAGTGAACGTACCTGTACACACAACTCCTGCAACCAGCTAAGCCCTGACACATCAAAGACTGAGATATTAGAGGACTTAGAGTCAATCAGCCCTAACATACAAGGACTGCTAGAGAACACACAATGGCCACAAGCCATGGGTCGGCCTGTACTGGGTAGATGTACTGCATACAACCTCAAACACATGGCTGACTCATCTACCATCATAAAGTTGTTTCTTAACAAGTTAAATGAATGTCTTGTTTCTTCAGTACAAACATAAGCTAGGACACCTACACCCTCTGGATGAAAAGGTAAAAGTATAAGATAAATAATTGAAACATAAATCAGTATTAGTCCTGTTCGCTCCTGCCAATGGCTCCATGTGTAAATATGTCTTCCATGAGCTTGTCAGATACACGACGAGCTGTAGACAAGTTTTACATAATAGGCTTACAGGTGGAACATGTTTTTCTCTCCTGAGATGGATGATCTGCTTTCTAAGTCATGATAAAGTTGTTTGTTAAGAAAGCATTGCCCCAAGACAATTTCACTTGATGTACCTTGTCCTTACATCTACATTTGGATTACAACAAATTCAAACCTGTAACTTTTTCAAATGACAAAAGAATTTCAATCACTTTGTTGACCAGTATGACACCATCTTTTTCGGCAACTTAGATGGCAATAACATCCACGAAAAGGGAATGAGAATACATCCCATCAATCACTTATC